TAAATTATTCATTTAAAAAAATGGCAAGTAGCTATTTATCAGAACTTATTGTGTTTTCCGAAAGCCTATTTAGCACTAATTAAGCCTTTGAAGCCAAATTAGATTAAAGAAAATAGAAGAAAGAGATATTATTAGTGAATTGATTCTCCATCTATTGCTATCCTTGTGGTTGTTGAAGTGGAGACGGTATCTAATCATTAATGTTAAGTCTGCAACTTGAGCCTTTATACCTTCCTTATTTCTGTCTAGAGAGCAGAAATAAATTGAGAAATAATGAGAGAAAACTCTTCTTGTGGTGAACAATTATTATTATTTTTCGATAGAGTAAAACACTTTTTACAAAAATAATTTTCTCTACAAAATTTATCTTGATAAATATCATATAATTTTATAAACTCGTGCCTCGTGTGAGTACATTATACTTTTTATGTAATAATAATAATTCCCTCAATGGTGTGTATATATATATATATAAAGTAGTATGAAAGCTTTATATTAAGACATACAATTAGTTTGTATTACGGAAACTCATTTACTGACAAAGTAACAAAGTTTGTTATGTCGCCACTGTCTAGAATCTTGTCCGATTACAGAGACCGTTATCGATAGCTGCACTTCCAACAGATGTCGCCATTATCTTTAACGGAAACGGATATTCTATATACGCATGCGTACAAAATATCGAGTTAAATGTTTCTCAGAATAGTAAATGGTTAAGATTTATCTGAGTCATTGAAAAAAGAACTCGAGAAAAAAATCATTTTTGCTAACATTACATTTAGTGCTGTTTTTAAAATTGACTTTTTCCAATTTCTAACTCAAAAATCATCTTAATTAAAATGAAAGTACCATTGAGAAATTCCAACGAGATATTAACGGTTATTTAATGCTTAAATCGTAATTAAATAGAAGTTGATAAGCCAATCAAACGGTTTCTTTCACATTCCAATTTAGTTTTTATCACACAAATGAAATTTAGTTGTAATTTAGACAACTATTTCTTTCATATTAAAATATTCTCTGACATTCAATACACGGAAAAGTTATAAACGTTTATCATTTTACGCGTCAAAATATACGTTGAACAGTTTTGTTATAGAAAGTGAAGAGTTTTTTCAAATATTTTTATTACTTGTTTCGCATTGAAAATATTCTGTCTACTTTTATAAGAATGCTATTTCGTCTAGAAAAACTAAAAAGAATAGTTTTATTTAAAATAAATGTTTAGAAATAAAAAATTTAAAGTGCAAGCGATGCTGAACGAGTTTATACGTCAGCATTTTGGATCGAAGCGTCTAGCTCTGACGGTTCGATTGAATATTTAGCACAGCCCACATTTAAGAAAAGCTATATAATTTCTAATTGATATTATATGCAAAGTATATTAGTCTTACTACATGCTTTCTTATGTTAAGCATTTAGTATAAAATGCTAGCAGATAGCTATAATTTATTTTTCGAATATTGCATTAACTTTGTAACAAGAGCTGCAAATGTATGAGGAATTTAATTTTAAATGTATTTATTTAGAAAATATTTCAATAAAAATTTTATAAGATATTTAACTTTCAGAAGAATACTATGAAACAATTTGGTTATACTTTGCATTACCCTAAACAAATATAAATTAAATATTCCACCTTATATTAATGTGAAATATTTAAAATCATGTATAAATATCAAAAACATGGTTTTAATTTTATCAAATATATATAAATTTTTAAATAACTATGCTAAACTTTCTTAACAGATAAATATATAAAACACATTAACGTTTTAATCTAGAATTTATAGCATAATAATAATTAACTGTTTATATAACTTTGTTTTAAACTCAAAAAATTAAAATACAGTAGAACCTCGATTATCCGGACTAATTGGGGATGAAGGTAGTCCGGATAAGGAAAAATCCGGATAATCGAAACAAATACTTTAATTTGTCTTTTAATGATAATACAACACGTTTTCTTTTCGATGACATATCGGTAACATTAAAAGTAAATACTGTATTTAAATCGTGATCAAATTTTCAAGAAACAAACGTTCGTATCGAATTTGGACTACTACTGATCAACGCTAACAAACTACCTATTGTTTAAAAGGCCCTCTGGTGGCGCAATAAGACGGATTTTATAAAATAAAAAGCAGTTTAAACTACATTTTTATGAATAAAAATTTGACAAACTATTTATCGTTTTATGACGAGTAAAATTTTTTCGTCGCGTTCACGGCTTTTAAGTAATGCATTAACCTTCGAAGCGCGAGGCCCTTCGGACCGCGAGGCATAGGCGGTGGCCCACGTCGTCCATGCCTTACGCCGCCCTTGGTCATAGAAACGATGTGATTTGAATATAAATTATTTATAAATACGTATGTCAAGTTTTTTATTACTACGTAAAATATATTTAAGAGTTTACGGCCACTGTGCCGGGTGAGACGTTGTAGAAACAAAAAAAGTTATGCACTCCATCACGTACATAAACAGTATCGTAATTCGCCAAGTACAAATCAGCAAATTCGTAAAATGTTTGTTTATTTTGAACAATCCGGATAATCGAAAATCCGGATAATCGAAAATCCGGATAACAGAGGTCCGGATAATGGAGGTTCTACTGTATGCTTAATCTATGTTATAACACTTAACTTTTATCAAATATTTTAACATGCTTAAACTCTCGTAACTAATATTTATCTAATAAATATATACAATTTTCCGTCCATTAGCCTGACAACTTCTATGTTAAAGGTTTACATAGCATATATCTAAGCTTTAGCCTATTATCTATACAAACCTGGCAAATTTAATTAAATTCCTTTCAACAAGATCATTGAAGTATAGTTTTGAATTTTATAAAATTACTCTACTTCCTGAATTACCTCAGCTCTATAAATTAATAATATTATTTAATGTCCAATCGACATTTTAAATTTAGCCTTTTAAATACAAGGCCATTTTATCGTAAGCTGACGCAGCATTCGTAAGCAAGAATTTGTGACAAATACGTGCTCGAGTGTCAGAATTTTGCCTCTACAAACTATTATAAATGACATGTATTTCCAATATTCAGCGTTGACATTCACTAACATTAGAAAGTTTTGATAATGAGAGAAAGTATAATTATCGAAACAATACAATTCAATAACACTCGACTAAAATAAACATTTATGTGTACAAAAAAGTGCGTAATAAAATTCTTTACAACATTAGAATTATTGATTTATATATTCTTATCACTTTAATACATGTTTACATTACTTTCCTTATATATTTACATACGCTTTTTATAATATACTGTTAACTGTAAAATTCGGAGAAAGCAATAAATAAAAAAATGTATTAGATCGTAGTTTAGAAAAGTATTTTCTTGCATAAAAATTTATTCTCTCTTTCGATAAAATTACAATTTATAATTTTTATTTAATTATTTTAAATGTAAAAAGATTATTANTACAATAAGATAAGATAGATAAGATACAATAATTTTTGTTAAACAATTCTTAAAATGTATCGTCTTATTAAATATAAAAGTGTACTCGTAAAATCAACAAGAAGTTTACTCGAGATTTTCTTCAATATTTCAATAAATTTCAATATCTTGAGAGATTTTCGACAAACAAAAAAATTTGAAAAAAGTTCTTCAGAAATAAAATCGATGAAAGTAACTTAATTATAAAAGTCTTTCTTAACGATATAATTGAAAGTTCACAGCAAAAAATAAAAAATAGTGAGTTCAATAGAAGAAAAAAGAAACATTGCTCGAAAACTTTTGCTTTACATAGAAAAGTAATTTCATAAGTTTGACAAATTAAAACGCATCATTTTTATGTTTAAATAAAAAAATAAAAACAAAAATGAATTAAACGTAATATTTTTCATTTAATTGTAATTTTTATTTTTTAAATATTCTATATATTTCGTTTTAATTCTGTGAAAAACCAAAGTATCGATCATTAAGAATTATACGTTCAGTTCAGTGATATATTAGACAGTTTGTTAATTAAATCATTTGACAGATAATAGGGAACTTGTTACGTAACAAGTTTGATCAAAATTATGATTCTAACTTTAAAGTTATTATTCTGTTGATTCAAAATTTAATTTTTATTTCCTGTAACCACGACGCTTTATTAAAACTATATAATACGCCATGATAAATTAAGTATTTCTAGATAATACGCTTTTTCTTTCAGATATTTTAAATAATTTTTCAAATCTTTATTTGCTTGTATTAATTGTATACAAGGAAATAAAACTTATTTAGTTTTAACAATACCAAAAGTAAATAATTAAAGAAATTCAATTATGTAACTTTAAATTTTATAAGTTTATTCAGTTGTGATCAATTAAGAATTCTTTCTTTCTCTTTTAAATGAGAAAAATTCTTTTCTTCATTCTCATCACTCTTTTCTTTTAAACGAAGAAAGTGATGTTAAAAATAGACTATTAAAATCATTAACTTGTAATAAATACATATGTGAATTAGCATGTGTTTTCCTCCTTTCATGACATAATACTGAAGGAAGTCTTAACGTTTTGTTTTATTAAATTAACTAATGTAAATTTGTATTTCTACTTATAAATTTAACAATATGAATGCCACATCCATTATAATGTATAAAATTTATAATATTGTCCTATTATAAATATTATTATTTAATTTCATTTAATTCTTAATATAAACGAACGAAATTAAATTTTATATAATATATCGAATGATAAATTCTAATGAAATTTCTAAATTTATTTTAAAAATTTATTTAAATAATATAAAATAGAAAATGAAAAAATTAACTTACTGGCATTATACGAAAATCTCCTTAATTCATTATATAATATATATTTAATTATGTAAACGTATAGTTACCAATTTATAAAATATAAAATAAGTTAACTTGATGTCTTATTAATAGACAATGATAAGTTTGTAATAAATTAATTCAATATATTTAATTATATTAATCATAATTATTATATTTATTACAGTTTTATCATTTCGTCGGTATGACTGATTAAATATAAAAAATTCTAAATTATTTTAAATAAAATTCTGTGTCAGTTTCCTGAGTTAGTTATCGTTAAATTTTAAAAAAAAGTCGTTAAAAATTAGATTAATAATATTCAAATCTCGTTAAAAATTTGATGATAAATTGTTTTGATAAACGTATTAAAGTTAAAGAGTTTTATTCATGGGTTTTTTTTCCACTGAACTGACTGATAGTTTATTTAAGTTTGGCTTACCCAGCTGAATTTCATCAGTCTTCTCCTCCTTTGTCAATATTGCATAAATCGTCTTTTCCTCATTATTTCATTCAAATTCAATTTTATTGTGGTGTTATCAAATTAACTTAATCATCAAAAATTAAATTGATTAATTCCAAAGTAAACACAAGAGTCTATATTTTAACAATGATATGATAATTAGTGGAGTGATATCAATATACAATTTAAAATTTCAAATTAATTAATTAATCTACTTATTATCCAAATATAATAATTTTGACAATCTATATTTGCATTATAAATATTTAGGTTATCAAATATTTTATAAACGCTAATGAATATTTTTTTATTTAAAATCATTTAAATAAAGAAGCTGTTTTTAATTATTTATAATATTAACTCTAAATACTTTAATCTGAATTTTAATTAGTTAAAAAAGTATAAATATTTATTTAATTAAAGAGTGAATTTTATTATGTTTTTTTTAATTATGTTGTTAAATGAATATAGTTAAAACGCAGAATTTATTTAATTTATTTCAATTAAATAATATTTATTTAGTATTTTAAATTGCTTTTAAATAACTAAATATAAGTTTTGTCAAATGAATGTTGTTTGAAGTGTTTCAACGTAATTTTCTGTTTAATTTTTACATGATTATACTTTTAAGATGCAAATTTAAAAACAAAAGTCTACTAATACCACTTCAAATTAAGATACGGAAATAGAAAATGAATGAGAGCATGCAACATTTCATTTAAATCAGCATAAAATTATTGATTGAATTAATAAAAATACGAACATAATCCTACCTTAAAGAGTCGTAATATATTGGCAACCATAACAGATTCTGTGCTAGAAGCGGCTCCAATAACACCAGAAACAGGCTTCCTTGGAGTATAAATTGGACGATTTCCATCTGTACAGTGATATTCGGAATCGTCCATAGAAGTTAACGACGTCTTAACAAACTCCATGCTTTGTTCTAGAGCGTACGTATCTCTGGAACAGGTGTCCAATATAAACGCGCCCAGTGTGACATTAGGTAAAAGATCATTATCTTCATTTATCTGATCTAGAGCGTATAACATTGCTTCCATTCTCTGTATACCTTTCTCTTCTTTGATTTTTCCACACGCCCTATCTGGATCGGTTCCGATTCCAGCCTCATGCATTGGAAATAAACCACCCAATATCAGATCTCCATTTAATTTTAGATGATACGATTTACTCTTGGCATCTATCTTCGGTACGAATCCCAGAAAGAGGCACACACTTATTAATGTTTCTCTATTAAGAAATGTTCTATATTGCCTCATAGTTTAATTAATGAATAAATTCTTCTTCTAATTGCACAAATCTTGGCACATCAAAGGAGTTTTTCTCACTTTACGAATAAGAAAAGTCATATAAATCAAAAGAACAAGAAATTTTGAATCAGACAAACATCATTTAATTAAAGAGTTTGTAATGTGTTTGCGCTCAATGCAGAATTTATCTATTGACAGAGACTAAATCCAACGCTTTAGCGATTAATGAAAGAGTGATGCAAAGGTCCACGTGCTGCAAAGGTCGAACAAGTACTGCCGTCCACGCGCTTGCCAAGAACAAGGAGAGCCATGCGCAAGCGCCATCCGAACAGTTCGTTGGAATGAGGATAAACGTCAGAGAAGACAAGAAAAGCGGATGTGATGCTACTGTATTATACTATTGTACTTCCGCACAATCTGTGTAAACAGCACCTCTCACGAATGAATTACGAAACGATGTTTGATTAATCGTGTTAGCAATTAAAGATAAACGTTAAAACGTTTAACCAGAACATTTATATAAATTCCACTTTTTTGCTGTGTAAGATTAATATCGACTGATTTGAAGATATATTCTATCAAATTCACGTGACTGAAGGATATATAAATTTATTGAGTGTAACAATAAAGCAAATAATGCAAATTAGATACGATAATTTCCTGTTTTGCCTCATTAAGATTAGGTTCATAGACACTATTCGAAAGATAAGTTAACATTATGATAAATGCCTTTAGTTTCTAATTGATAAACAAATAAATTCAACAAAACACATTCTAAACTGAATAAAATAATTAAATTTTCACAATTAATTTAAATCGAATGCTAATTATAAATTTAAACGTAGAAATTTAATTTTATTTCAATTTTACTGAAAGTAAAATTGAAATAGAAAATATATAAAATATATAAAATAAAATATAAATAAACTGTAATTTTATGTATATAATAACGTTTATAGTATGATTTTTTATATTAAAATTTCATTATTATTATTATTTATATAATACTTTTTAAAAATTACTATCATAAGTATAAAAGTATTAATGTCTGTGACTAAATGTCATTCGTATATATGAAATTAAATTAAGTAATATACAAATATTTCATTTTATACCATTTTATAATGCGCATAATTTCATTAAATTATTCATTTAAAAAAATGGCAAGTAGCTATTTATCAGAACTTATTGTGTTTTCCGAAAGCCTATTTAGCACTAATTAAGCCTTTGAAGCCAAATTAGATTAAAGAAAATAGAAGAAAGAGATATTATTAGTGAATTGATTCTCCATCTATTGCTATCCTTGTGGTTGTTGAAGTGGAGACGGTATCTAATCATTAATGTTAAGTCTGCAACTTGAGCCTTTATACCTTCCTTATTTCTGTCTAGAGAGCAGAAATAAATTGAGAAATAATGAGAGAAAACTCTTCTTGTGGTGAACAATTATTATTATTTTTCGATAGAGTAAAACACTTTTTACAAAAATAATTTTCTCTACAAAATTTATCTTGATAAATATCATATAATTTTATAAACTCGTGCCTCGTGTGAGTACATTATACTTTTTATGTAATAATAATAATTCCCTCAATGGTGTGTATATATATATATATAAAGTAGTATGAAAGCTTTATATTAAGACATACAATTAGTTTGTATTACGGAAACTCATTTACTGACAAAGTAACAAAGTTTGTTATGTCGCCACTGTCTAGAATCTTGTCCGATTACAGAGACCGTTATCGATAGCTGCACTTCCAACAGATGTCGCCATTATCTTTAACGGAAACGGATATTCTATATACGCATGCGTACAAAATATCGAGTTAAATGTTTCTCAGAATAGTAAATGGTTAAGATTTATCTGAGTCATTGAAAAAAGAACTCGAGAAAAAAATCATTTTTGCTAACATTACATTTAGTGCTGTTTTTAAAATTGACTTTTTCCAATTTCTAACTCAAAAATCATCTTAATTAAAATGAAAGTACCATTGAGAAATTCCAACGAGATATTAACGGTTATTTAATGCTTAAATCGTAATTAAATAGAAGTTGATAAGCCGATCAAACGGTTTCTTTCACATTCCAATTTAGTTTTTATCACACAAATGAAATTTAGTTGTAATTTAGACAACTATTTCTTTCATATTAAAATATTCTCTGACATTCAATACACGGAAAAGTTATAAACGTTTATCATTTTACGCGTCAAAATATACGTTGAACAGTTTTGTTATAGAAAGTGAAGAGTTTTTTCAAATATTTTTATTACTTGTTTCGCATTGAAAATATTCTGTCTACTTTTATAAGAATGCTATTTCGTCTAGAAAAACTAAAAAGAATAGTTTTATTTAAAATAAATGTTTAGAAATAAAAAATTTAAAGTGCAAGCGATGCTGAACGAGTTTATACGTCAGCATTTTGGATCGAAGCGTCTAGCTCTGACGGTTCGATTGAATATTTAGCACAGCCCACATTTAAGAAAAGCTATATAATTTCTAATTGATATTATATGCAAAGTATATTAGTCTTACTACATGCTTTCTTATGTTAAGCATTTAGTATAAAATGCTAGCAGATAGCTATAATTTATTTTTCGAATATTGCATTAACTTTGTAACAAGAGCTGCAAATGTATGAGGAATTTAATTTTAAATGTATTTATTTAGAAAATATTTCAATAAAAATTTTATAAGATATTTAACTTTCAGAAGAATACTATGAAACAATTTGGTTATACTTTGCATTACCCTAAACAAATATAAATTAAATATTCCACCTTATATTAATGTGAAATATTTAAAATCATGTATAAATATCAAAAACATGGTTTTAATTTTATCAAATATATATAAATTTTTAAATAACTATGCTAAACTTTCTTAACAGAAAAATATATAAAACACATTAACGTTTTAATCTAGAATTTATAGCATAATAATAATTAACTGTTTATATAACTTTGTTTTAAACTCAAAAAATTAAAATATGCTTAATCTATGTTATAACACTTAACTTTTATCAAATATTTTAACATGCTTAAACTCTCGTAACTAATATTTATCTAATAAATATATACAATTTTCCGTCCATTAGCCTGACAACTTCTATGTTAAAGGTTTACATAGCATATATCTAAGCTTTAGCCTATTATCTATACAAACCTGGCAAATTTAATTAAATTCCTTTCAACAAGATCATTGAAGTATAGTTTTGAATTTTATAAAATTACTCTACTTCCTGAATTACCTCAGCTCTATAAATTAATAATATTATTTAATGTCCAATCGACATTTTAAATTTAGCCTTTTAAATACAAGGCCATTTTATCGTAAGCTGACGCAGCATTCGTAAGCAAGAATTTGTGACAAATACGTGCTCGAGTGTCAGAATTTTGCCTCTACAAACTATTATAAATGACATGTATTTCCAATATTCAGCGTTGACATTCACTAACATTAGAAAGTTTTGATAATGAGAGAAAGTATAATTATCGAAACAATACAATTCAATAACACTCGACTAAAATAAACATTTATGTGTACAAAAAAGTGCGTAATAAAATTCTTTACAACATTAGAATTATTGATTTATATATTCTTATCACTTTAATACATGTTTACATTACTTTCCTTATATATTTACATACGCTTTTTATAATATACTGTTAACTGTAAAATTCGGAGAAAGCAATAAATAAAAAAATGTATTAGATCGTAGTTTAGAAAAGTATTTTCTTGCATAAAAATTTATTCTCTCTTTCGATAAAATTACAATTTATAATTTTTATTTAATTATTTTAAATGTAAAAAGATTATTATTATTATTGTAAATATTAGTTAAAAGAATTAGTCTAAATCAGGTGTTTTTGTGGCTTCTAGTTACCTGATAGAATATAAAATAGTAGGCCTACAATGTATGTCTTTAATCATCTGTTTGTCTACACGTTTCGGATAAATTAACTAAAAACTGTATTAAAAATGAAAATGTGTATATTAAAAATGTGTTATATATATAATTTATTTTATGTACCGTACGTATGCTGAATGTATAATCTTATGCAACATGCTATACAACTTTCGTCTTTATGAAATATCTTTGAATTAGGATCTGGTCTTCTAATTAAAGAAAATTTTTTATGGTCAAAATAGTCTAATAGACTAGTCCAATAAGTAAATCAATTTATCATAAAAATTGTTTTAAAATCTTTTAAAATTTACTTAATATTTATTAGAAGTTTAATAAAGATGATTATGACGATAATATATTTCGTAATAATCGTTTTTATATAAATATGATGAATTACAACAACCGTAGTAATCTATTGTAAATCTGATATTGAAAATTCGATTTAATAAATTGAACCTAATGCAGTGCATCAATCATTAGTAGTAGCATGCGTATCAGTCTGGCAGTGGCTCCAGGGTGATGGTATTTTATCAGTCATGTGATGTCATATATACTTGTTTATCAGCAGTTGGAAGCATTTTAGTAATGTTTATAATAAAAAGTGAAAATTTGTCTATCGTAAATAAATTATATACAGTATATGTTTCGTTTAGTGAAGCAAGATTAGCAAAATGTTTTGCTAACCTCGCTGTAATTGTTAGATTAAAACATTATTTTTAATCACATTTATTGAAACTTATTAAATTTCAACTTATTACTCCAGAGGTAAGTACTTTTTATATAGATTTCTATCTGAACTGAAGACATGTTTATTTCTTTTTCGAATTAAATCTGGTTGTGGAAAAGTTTACTTATATTTTATTCAGTTTCGATTAGATTATAGAACTATCTTCAATCATTTCCATAACATAGTTGAGATGAAACTTGAGAAATTTTCAACTAAAATATTTCGTCAGATCTTTTCTTAGAGAATATTCCAGAAAAATATATTTACTTCATATTACGAAATTCTATTCTAAGTATTTTTGACAACAAAGAAATAATATCTTTCCAAAAATATTATTATGAAGTATAATGTGCTTCAGAAAAAAGCTAACTATCGTATTAGTTTGGTGTTACAGAGCTTTGTAATTTTAAATTCTTTACTACATTTGGATCTATATTTATTTAAATTAAATTTATATAATCAGAATGTATTTATCAATATTTTTAATCACTAAAACGAAATAGTACATTTTGTTTTAATGTTTAAATATTATAAGTATATTATAATTCATGTAATATCAATGTAATAAAAGTTTTGTTATTACAGTATATAAGTACTGAAATTTTAATACAATTTAATTTAATTTGAATATTATTAAATAAATATTTTTAAAAATTAGGAAAACTACGTTTTTATTTTTATATTCTTGAAATGTTATTCGTATGCACTAGATATAAATAAGTTGTATATTTCCCTATTTATTGTCTGTAGATTCAAACAATGTTTAGTGGATAAATCCACGATAATAATTTATTTAATTCGAACGATAAGAAAATATTAAATTAAAAAAGTGAAGACAATAAAAATTGGCATGTTTATTTTCGTATGTCTAGTAGAGAACTTCATATTTTATAAATAACAATAATACAAACGTATTTATTTTTTAACTGTTGCTACCTGTTTTTCTTGAACGCAATCTATAATTGAAAAAAATATAAAAAAGAAACTATTCGTCTAACTTCGTAAATATCCTTTTCTCAAATGTCACACCGAGATTTCTGCTAAATCTATAAATTCAAAAAGTTCTATGAAAAGAAAAATTTTCGAGAATATGTA